GCTGAATAGAAGGCTGCTGTTAGATGCTACATATGCATCAGTCTTCTGTAAGTTTGCACTAGGGATGTAGAGGTTAGTTTATTAGCTATTTTGTAGCAAGAAAGTAGTGTAAATCTATGTTAATTAAGTCTTTCCATCTTTCTTGCACATATTTTCCTTGGCTAACTGTGCTTGTCCCTTTTTAATGTATATTTCATGATAAATACGTCAATAAATAATTGATTGAGCTGACAGGGAGAAAAATACAGCGCAGTGGAAACCTTGTCAAATACAGCTTTCGAATAGCCAGTGTAACTTCGATAGGAGATCCTAAATCAACTGCTAGATAATGTAGTAAGTAAACATATTAACCAGTAAGTAAACATATTAACCAGCCACAAAGTCATAACTTACATTTGTTGATATATCAAAATCTAGTCACAGCAGTCAACAAAGGCATGAGGAACAGTTAATAAAACTCAGGAAATAAAGATAGGATATCATGTTATGAACTTTATAAATTACAGCTTCTAAACACTTTAAAAAAAAATATTTCCAGAGTGCTGCTATAGAATCATCCTTGATAAACAGGTTTTTTTCATAAGCAGACCTAACCACTTGCAAGATTTAGAGATAGTAACGCTCAAAGAATGCTTAAAGTTCAGCACTGCATGATAGAACTGTTGCTGGAAGAGGGCTTGGTTCTGTACAGTAAACAGTATGTGGTTATTGTACTGAAAAAGCATTTGTTGGTGAAATTTTGTCACTATTAAAGAAAAAACCCACAACAAAACATGTATTGGCATGCAGGCTTGGTATATTCTATTAAGATACCTTTATAAACATTTTGGTGTCTTAGATACAGCTATACTTAAAAAATGTTTTTCTTTACAGCATGCTTGCACCCATTCTTTTTTTTCATTACATGCAAATTTTCCCCCCTGGATTAATCTTACAGTTATCCCTTCTAGTAAAAACAGATATGTGAAGAAAAGTAGTCCACCCATTTATGCTACAGGTTGGCTCATAACACTCTAAAATAGGTAAAACCAAACAAAAATAAACCAAGTGCCATGACATGCCTCTTCTGCAAACTGAGGAGATGTCATTGGTGAGATTTTCCAAAGATTTGCTGTCAGCTTTCTGCTGCCACTGAAAACGATGAAACCATTGTCTTTGGTGGAAGTGAAGTTAGGCCAAAGCAGAATGCTTCTACAGGTCCTTACCCTGTCAACTGCTGAGACAAAAACCATTTGAAAATATATTTTATACTTAAAATGTTCACAAGCCTCTATGACTAACTCTGTAAATGCCTTGTCACAAACTGAACTAAAAAGAAACCAGTCTTTCAAAAAATTCATTTGCTGCTTCTAATTCCCAAATGATAAAGTATTAGCTGTTGGATGCACTGTCATCTTAGGGGAACATATACAGCCGGGTGAACAGTGGAAGCCAGCAAAACCAGAAACAAGTGTTTCCAGTGGGGAGCTGAAGAGATCCCATAGTTGCTGATTTAGGCATTTGGAAATTAAACAGTGGAGAACTTTAGGGAGAGGAGCATTAGCTGGAATTGACTGAAGATCTCTTTGTTTCTTCTTTTTTTTAACACAGGTATCCATAGCTGAGGCTATGTACCTGGTGTGGCCTTTACTTCAGAGGTCTACAACATGTGTCAAACATACTGCCACTTCATTTTTACTCTATTTTCTAGCATGGTGATGATGTAAAGCCTTAAGAAATGTTTCTGGCATACTGTAGTAGGTGAGGCAATCACCCCGATGGGGATCAGCTTTGTATGTATGTCAGCTAGTGTGTCTCCTGGGTTTAATTTCCTTCATCCTAATTGCCAGCAGAAGTTGCAATGATTGTTTGTAGTAAGTACTATCTCCAGTATAGATATTAAGTATTGAAGAAGTTGGTAAGCTGAGCCTAGGTATACTGATTAAGTGAATTTCTTCTTAACTCCTGTGAGAAGAAATCAAAGCTGCTGAAAGAAATCACTGTGCTAATATACTCTGAGAGCGCTTCTAGGTTGTACTCTGTAAAGTTAAAGGGCCCCAGTGTTTTGCCACAGTATCTCAATATGCCAAAGACACAGATATGCCTTTTAAGGGGGGGAGGTGATCTACTGAATGCCATTTATCTTCAGTCTTTCCTGCAATGAAGAAGTAAACTCTATTGTATATTATACATACAATTATATATACACACACATATACAAAATGTATAAATAAGCATGGAATATAATATATAATAAATATAAGCCAATATACATTACCTCATATGTATTGTAATATATTATTGTACCACATGTTGTGTATGACATGTTGTATTTTACATATAGAGTAAGATACACATTAAAAAATTACATTGTTGATTTAAGGTTTCTCCAGCTTCTTCACTGTAAGTTAGTCTTGGTTCTTAGAGAAGAAATGAATGGGGTCACAGCCTCAGTTGCACCTGACAGCTTCATACATCTGCTGTTCATCTGTTTCTTTGTTTGCCTTTAAATACTTTATGTAAAACTATCTAAAAGCTAAATTATGGGGGGGGGGGGAATTGTTAGAATTAATGTTACCTTGTAATGCAGATGCAATGCCTTTGTTGTAGAATCAGGGTGTCTGAGCAGTGCTGTAACATACAGCATGTACTTCATGCTTCAGCGTGAAGCAACCAGTTTTCAGTCCTCTCTGGTAGCCCTCTGTAACACCCTTCACTGTGTAGTGTAGACATGACTAAAAGCATTGCCAGGTTTGACCATCATACTGTGGGACTCAGAGAATAAAATCCTATCTTTATTGAAACTAAGGGAAAAAACACCCCAAACCTTTCATTAAATTATTTAGTCTCAAAATTTCAAAATGCAGAATTATTATCCTTTTGTTCTTGGAGAAGATTGCTCCAGTGTAGAGTTGACACATTCATAGGACGTATCAAGACACAAAAAGACCTGGAGTGGTTGCCCTTGAAATGATACGTATCCTCAGGATAAATGCAATACAACCACCGTAGCTGAGATATCAGCATCTTTCTTGGGAGCCTGCACCCGAGTGAACATCACAACACTGAAAGTTGCAATCCCTTTGATCTCATGCAGAATTTATGAAATTCCTGTAGAGGGTCAGCTCAGGTTCTTGCACTGTGTGTGGTCAGAGGAAGGTAGCACCAATAATGCGTTGTTCAGTCAGCATGCTCTAATGTTTTGGCTTGTCTGCGCTTAGTCAATGCTGATGGTAATTCTATCTCTGCTCTGGGACTGAAGCATTCAACATCATGTTTGATTCCTCAACAGAGGAATCCCTTCTCAACTCAGGCCATGTGGCAGCAATGTCTTTTTAAGAATAGGAACAGATCTACAAACTTGAGATCAGTGGTCATTTGGCAAGGATTTCTGGACATCTGCAGCCTGTTGGAGCTGCAACTGCCAATAATTTACCAGCACCAGAGGAACAGAAAACCTTTGAGTTCCACCCAGTGGAAAAGCGGATGTGATCTTGGGCTCCTCAGCCTTAGGGCCTTTACCCAGGAGTGGAAAGACCTAGTTTTTTAGGTTTTGCTCCAAGAACTGTTAATGAATTATTTTCACTAACTGTTTCTTATAAAATGCAGAAATTGTCAAATTCCTGACTACATTCCCTCTTTCTTCTCAGGCAGATAAAGGAACATGGGTTTGCTGCCTCAGCTGGTTGAGTTGTGAGATAGGTGCTGAGGTGCTTCATGTACCACGTCAGAAGAAAGCTGAGAGATTTGTAGTGGTATTTTCCCAGTAAGCAGAAGTGTTCATTTTGGACTTAGGCATCTCTTCCCCAGGTCTGGGGCCTGAAATCATTGATCTCTTTTTTTTTATGTGCATATCAGTGTGTGATTTGATACGTATCAGCTGGATGTAGCCAATGTCACACAATATGGGTGACATGGAAAAGAACAGAAAAATGAGGCAAATGCAGTCTCACAGCTGAAAGCTGAAGTCAGCAAAACTTTTAATAGCAATGAGGATTAGCTCACTTATGGAGTAGGTAACTGAAGAGAGTCTTCTGGTTTCAAAATCAAGAACAGAAGTTTTGCCAAAAAGCATGTGTGTCCCAGTGCTGAATTACTGGGTTGGAGCACAGGAACTGCAAGATGAATTCCCATGGCTCAGTACTAATATTAATTTGATTTTATGGACAGTGCCCTGCTACAAGCCTAAGACCTATATACTTTTCTGAGGAAACACAACTTGCTTATTCTAGCTGTGGCTGGAATTGTTTTTCTGGTCTCTTCTGGTTTTAACTGCACAGTTGTGAGCCTTTACTCTGGATGGGCATGAGTCAGCTCCAAACCATAAACAGTGTAGCCATGGTTAGTAAGCCTGAGCTACTAAGCCTTTGCTGATAGCGTGGGCACAAGTTGCGTCTACTTGGAGCACAACCAAAGCAAGCTCACATCTGCTTGCAAAAAAAACCACCACAACACCAAAACCAAAACCATATTCTCTCTGTTCTTTTCCTGCTTCTTCCCCCTGCCTTTCTCTCTCTTTCTGTCCTACCTGCACACATCCACAAGAGCACTCACGGAAACACCACCTATCTAAGCCCTCCACCCGGATAGTTCAAATTCCTGAGTGAGATCTCACAGGGCACGAAGTTGTTTAGATTGGTAACAAGTGGCTGTGTTTTGGTATGAGGCCCCTTCTGCAGTTCCTTACAATAAACTTGAACAAAGAGCAGTTGTATTGATGCATTTCAACTATGTTTTACTCAACCTAAGATGTGTTCATTTCGCCTACTACAGTTGACTGAACCCAGAAACGGGTGATATAAATCATGGGGGGGGAGCCACAGTGCTGAGCTCCAAACACTTTTTGGGGAGTTCTCTGTTCAGGGGCAACAAACTCACCATAAGTTGCACTAAATGCACTGTGGAAGGATGTCAGTGCCCCAGAGCTCACAGCAGAGGCTGTGGCTCTAAAAACATGGATAGCAGCCCTTCTTTGTTGCTGGCTGTGGCAGCTGATGACATATGAAGTTTGAGTGACAAGATCCAGGTTCCATGGAATTTTCTCAAGTATAGGATAATAATTAGGCTACTCTTTCGATAAATTTTCTTTAATCTGTCTTTTCTTCCACTAGGTAGACACTAATTATGTTGTACATCATCTGCCATTTTTCTGGCATGAACAGCCTGCTGGCACAAGTCAGTGGAAATTCAACATTCATTAAGGTTAGACTGTGTTACTTGTGCTTCTTCTCTGTCCTGGTTTCTCCCACTCCCCCAGGATGATTAATCCTCACAACAGTGAGGCTAACAATTTTACAACAGGAAGCCCTCTATTTTAGATAGCAAAGATAAATTACTGGCATCTTGGCTATCATTACCTTGAAGCCTGGGATTTAGGGTTTCTGAGATTTGGGGGTTTTTACCAGTGGGTTTTGAAAAGTATCAACTATCTTAGTCACCTACGTATTTGCACAAAGACCATGTCTCAAAGAAGCAGTACTTTTTAACAGAACAACTATGAAAAATGCTGAGAAGTAAAAGGATCATCACATCCCTTTCTCTTTTTAAAATATGTTATCCTTACAGTAGATTACTGATGGGTGAATATTAGAGCTGGTCTGCCTGATAGCTTGAAAGCTTGTTTCTCAGGGAAAGCTGTCTTCTGGCAAATTAAAGGAAATTGAGTTACTCAGGATCCCATTTCCCCCTGCACAGGAGAAACTGATCTAAAGGAAAGGAAACTTGCTTATTCCTGTGAATTCTTCCTTTATGTGTATGTGTGTGTGTGTGTTTTTATTGATATTTATATCACAGTGCAAAATCCAAACAGATCAGGTGCAGACCCTAGCATTTTGTTTTCTTGTATTAGCAATGTCTCAAGGAAACATCACAAAGCTAGGTAAATATGCCTCTGCCTCTGCACTTATGATTGATAACTGCTGGATGCCTTAAGTCCTGCAGCTTCATCCACATGCTCCATACCTTGATGAAATGTGGGAGGAATATTAGTGTCACAGGTCTAGTTGAAGGTTACTTACATAGTTCCATTATTACAGCACAGTCATAAACTTTAATTTATATGTATTCCACAAATTCATTTCAAACTAGCACTGGTATTCCCAGTAAAAAAAAAAGGAAGACAAAAAAAAAAGGTAAAAGAGAAGGAAAGTGTAAATGACTTGCCCAAGATTACATAAATCCATGATCATGCAAAATCTCATTTGTTCCCTGGCAGAGCAAGCTTTGATATGTTTCACAAGCCAAAATAGTGCATTAATCTGTTTAACAAGCCCAAAATAATGCCTTAACTCTTTTGTCTCTAGATCAGTACCTTGCTATGGTGAAATTAAGTATTGTTAAGTACCTAAACCAAATGCACATTTCTCATATCTGCCAAGTATATACAGAAATTTCGCAGTATTTGGGCCAATTGTGACAGTCGGGGATAGCAGATGGAGTGAAGAGCTCCTCTCTTTCAAAACAGGTTTGGGGGCTTGGAAAGGTCAGTCAAAAAACCATGAAGTTCCATATAACTTACCTGCTGGAGAAGGTGAGAATTCTGTTCCCATATCTTCTGCAAGTTAATTTCCTGTTCTTCCTTGACATCCTAAACCTTCACAGCCTGCACTCCAGGGCTATGCTGTGCTATGAGGAGGGAGAATCCAATTAATTATGTCCTACCTCACATTCAGCTTTCAGCCACCAATTATTAGACAAAACCTGGTCGAAGTCCTTATTCGATTTAGGAGACTTGTATGTCTTGGCATTCATCAGGATTTACTGATGTTGATAAATTGCTCTTCTCCATCGTGGCTTTAAATAGATGTATCAGATTTGTCCAAGGCTCTTTGCTGAGCCTTGATCTAAATGGTTTTTCATCTAGGAGTATGGAGCAGTTGTTCTTTTACCTGGAACTGCAATATGGAGGTCAGAAGTAATGAAACTGGCATTTTTCTAATTACGAATTCCATTATTATTTTCTATCCTCAGACATGAGGGGTAAATCCACATGAGTCTGCTTCAGTAAAGCTCTTCTGAGCTAGCATAGTGAGATAAATTAAAATAGCGTGAGTCAACTGTGTCCTAGGTTATCGTTACTTGCAATATCTAAGAGAGCCTAGGTTGCAGTCTGCAGACATGCTGTTGCTAGATCTGGTGTGACAGAATTAAAAAGAGGTGGGTCGAGAATATGTTCTGTATGAAGAGTCTGGGATGTTGCTTTTTTCCCCCCATCCAGCACCTGTTTGTGGTAGTTGCTCTTTGAAGAGTGGTTGGAAGAGTAACACGCAAACAGATGAATAGGGGAGTATGCATAATGCTACCTGGTAGTACAGCATGAACTGACTGTGCTAAGTTTGGTTTAGTTAAATTTCAAGGTAATTGACAGGGTGCTGAGAGCACTTTTGCTATATCTTAAGCCACAAGAAAACAAAAGAAAGAGATTTTTAATTTTTTTTTTCCTTCCTCTCAGCCTCCTGTGTTCTTAACCAGGAGCTTTGTGAAGTACTTGAGCTTGTTTTTCAGATTAGTTCTTGAGATCATAGCCACAATGGGCAGGAGACTGCTTTTTCTCATACATGTACTGAACTGGAATTACTTGGGGTATTTTCCTCCTAAATTCATTGTAAGTTCTTGTGAGTCACTCTGTTACTTGACAGCTGAATTTAATGTAGCTGACTGTTGAGTTCCCTAGCTGCTAATGTTCAAAGATCACTTATTGGCAAATACCATGTAATGTCTGTAATAGAATTGCTGCGTGTGCATGTTAAATACCTTATGAGTTTTGTTTGTTAATGCCAAGCAATTCAGGCTAGTCTTTTTCTTGACATAACCAGTTATAAAACCTAATCTGTTTTGACTACATCCATCCCATGTAATATTCAAGTTTGTGCCATTTAGACATCAGAAGCTACAGAAAGGGAAATTTATGAACTTCCAAATTCCAAAGAACTGCCTTCTACAACTAGGCTTGTACCCCAACTGTCTTTTTTTTATGTAATGGGTTGTAAATGCTCAGCATAATCATTGAATTATTCCTCACTGATGTAGCTGTGTGTTTGTGTCCTGGGTTCAGCAGTAGTAGTCATTTTTCTCCTTCTTAGTAGCTGGTGCAGTGCTCTAGTTTTGACTTTCAGCCTGGGAATAGCACTGATAACACCGATGTTTTCAGTTGCTGCTCAGTAATGTTTAGTCTGACCAAGGACTTTGTGAGTCTCATGCTCTGCCAGGGAGGAGGGGAAGCCAGGAGGAAGCAGAGACAGGACACCTGACCCAAACTAACCAAAGAGGTATTCCACACCACAGCACATCATGCCCACTGTATAAACTGGGGGCAGTTACCCAGAAGGGCTAGATCACTGCTTGGTCGGGCTGGGTATCAGTCAGCGCGTGGTGGGCAGTTGTATTCTCTTCCCTTGTTATTTCCCTTATCATTACTATTATTGGTGGTAGCAATAGTGGTTTGTGTTATACCTTAGTTACTGGACTGTTCTTACAACCCGTGGGAGTTATAGTCATTCAGTTCTCCTCCCCATCCCTCTGGGAGCTGAGGGAGGAAGAAAGTGGGGGGGAGTGAGTGAGCCATTACATGGTTCTGAGTTGCTGGCTAGGCTTAAACCATGACAGTTTATAAAAAGAAAGTCTGTTTTTCCACAAATAGTACTTGCTGTCCATTGTTTACTACCTAACTGTTTTAAAAATGTGCTGTCTGATCAGTAAGTAGATAAGATTTAAAGAACTGCCCATCACAAGAGATTTCCAGAGGATAGCTGAGCTTATAATATTGTGGAAAACCCCAGACACAGTTTTGATGGGAAAATAAATAAATCAGTAAGTATTTAAAAATAAGTACTCTCTGCAAATATTACAACCTAAATACTGTCGTGAATATTGCTGAAGGACAATAAGGGCTTAAACTGATGAAATGTGATTACCTGGAAAATGCCATGACTGTACAGTTCAACAGTCCATGAGAAACTTTTCTGATGCAGCAATTAGTGTTCCTGAAATGGAAGTAGTACTCTTTCCTTCTACCACTGCACATCACCTTCTAGGGGAAATTCACCTCCACCTTCCCAGACTATCTCTTCAGCTGAGCTTGTGGAAGTCAGGTAATCTTTTGGCACTGAGTACCTGTATATCATCTTAAGCTTTCTTATGTCAAAATGTCAGTAGTACTAGATACTTTTATACTGCTTAGTATCAGTATTATTGTTCTTTTATATGTCAGCCTGAAGATAAAATAGTATCATAAAGTGGTCTAGATGTCAAGGTATTTCATTATTACATAATAGTCAGTGCACTTTGCTCTGCTTTCCTTAGCCTTACAGTAAAAATTTACATATTTCTTTAGAAATAATTTATTACTTCACATATCTGATTAATATAGAAACAAACCAGGGCATACATGTGCAGAAAAGGTATGTTGGGCCTACATTTCAATAACTAAACAAAACCAAATACCTAATTGCATTATTTGCTGTTAGAATAATATTTCCAGTAGTAAATTTTTGTATAGACAGGGGAAAAGCCATTCCTGGCTTGAATGAAGTAACGTTAAATTTCTCATCTTTTATTAGCTGCTTAACTGAGAATATAGGGAAACAAGGCTGATCACAATGACTCAGTGCAAAAAGCAATTGTGTACTTTTTTTTTATAGCCATGCAAATTTAAGTGAACCGTACAATTTTAGACATACCTATGTTTACTAGCGCATCATTTTTGCTGTGTGGGACAATGGAGTAATTGTCTTTAGTAGATAACCTTGTATGAACTTAACACCAGCTTGTATGCACTACCTAATGTAGAGGTCTCCAAAAACTATTATATCCTGTACAAAACCTAATATGTAATTTAAGGCAGATTTTCAGACTAGCACCTCATTTTGAGCAAGCATTGTCTTTTGTACTTAATATATACAAGACTATTGAGAGATAATACTAATTATCATCCAGCAAGTGAATCTCGCTACTATTAATTATCAGTGAACTAAAATCTAAGTAGCATAATTATCTTGAAAAATGTCTGCAATAAGAACATGACAAACTGTATCATATCAAAGGTCCTAGTCACCCAGTATTCTGTCTCCAGCAGTGGTAATAGGTAGCAGAGAGAATCCACAACCTCATTAGCACTTAAAATGGGTGCAGTAGTTTGTTTCACAAACAACTGGTTAAAGCACACCAGTAGTTTGACTCATCTCCTTTCAGAGCAGTAATCTGCA